GACCACCTGCCCAGGAATGACATTACCTACAACTGGTTGGGTCCTCCAAATAAATCATTAATCAAGAAAACACCCTACAGACTTGCCTACAGGCTAATATGATGGAGGTGTTTTCCTGATTAAGATTCCTTCTTCCCAGATGACCTGGCTTGTATCAGGTTGACATAAAACCTAGACAGGACAGGAGACTTTAAGTCATGAGAGCAGAGCCCTCACTAATGGGATTAGTGAGTGAACTGTGAACGTCTCCCACTGTGTTGGGAACCCTGTAAAGGACCATCTCTGAGAAATGCCCTCACCAGACACAAATCTGCTGGCACCTGGTCCTCCCAGCCTCCAGAATGGTCAACAGTGCATTTCTGTTCATAAACTACCTAGTCCAAAATATTTTAACACTGCAGCCCAGATGGAAGACAGAGTGAATCTATATTTTATGTGTTCTTTCTCTTGGTGAGGAATACCCACATTATCCCCAGTGTCTGGGCAAACTTATTGTATCTTCTGCAAGACCTGCAGAGCGTGGACCTTCATGCTCTGACTCAGGAAAGGTGACATCCCAAATCACTCACAAGAAACGGTCTTGATGCAAACTGCATGAGGAATTTTTTATTCCAAGTGCATTGGGGTCCACAGTCATACACACGCAGATGTAGAGGACCTTGAGGGCAGAATTGAGACAGTTTTTTTAATAAGGGTTTATAACAAAGCCCATACACCAAACCAATCATCCCAAAATGTCAAGATCCCATGTGGTGTGGGCCAATCAATTTAAACCAATTTTTGTTTTTCTATAGCTGTATTGGTGTGGGCTCCTGGGTGGAGTGATAGTTGGCAGTTAGGATTTGGGGCAGGGGTTCTGCAAGCAATTTACTAAAGTTAGATATTCAGCTGGTCAACTCATTTTCTATTATCCTTATTCAGCGGGAAAGTAAGGCCTTGGGACAGTTCAAAGCTTGGGTGGTTATGACTTTTTGAACAAAATGACCCATAACAGTTCCCAGAAACCAGACTGTTGTTGAGAATAACAACATCCCTCAGAAACTAGGTGGTTATGAATAATAATAACAATTTCCAGAAACTGGTCATCGAGACCAGGCTATTTTATGTGTTTCCTTTTTCCTGAGCTTTGCATGTAGCTAGGGTGATTTTTAAATACATGCTGGGGGATACTTTTAAACTTCTAACTTCCAGTGGTCATTGGGGAGTTAGGCTGTATTTTTATCCTTTTACTTCTCATAAACTTGCATGAGAATTTCTTTGGGATAAATATCTAGAAACAGAACTTCTGGTTCCTTGATCTATGTAAACTTGTATTAAGTGGTGGCTGCTTTAGCCCCACATGCTACCAGGACAGCGTCAAGCACCTATATCCTCCGTCATGGCCATCCCTAGACATGATTTAGCTTTGCCGTTTTAAATTGATATCTGTACTATTTTAACTTGCCTTTGTGTGATTTCTAGGGTTTTTTTTTTAGATTAATTTTATTATTTATTGTGTGAGAGTGGTGTGGGAGGTACCTATGGAAGCCAGAAGATAGTGTCAGGTCCCTTGGAACTGGAGTCACAGGTGATTGTGAGCCTCTCAATGTGGATGTTGGGGACACAACTGGTCCTCATCAGAAGCAGAAAGCCAGCTCTCCAGCCCCATGAGGTCATATTTCATACTTCCTTTTTATAACCAACCTTCCATTCATATGATTTCTCTTCTGCTGGCAGAGGAAAACCAGGAAAAACATTCAGGACCCTTAATAGTCTGGGCTCAAAGCCTCCACCCACCGTTTGCTTCTTATTCTGCCTTTGCCCCTCTCTGTACCCTGGTCACCACCTGCAGTTTCTCTATTTAGTTTCTGCTTCTTCTGCCTGCATCAGACAGCTCCAGTCCCAAGATTTATTGTGGAAAGAATTGCTCTTCCCCTCTGAATGTGGGTAATTCAGTCTTTCCTTCTCCACTACTTACCAAAGGTCTCATTTCTGTTTCTCTAACCTCACATGCCTGCCTCCATCCAGGTGGGTATGAAACCATGCTGGGATTCCCACTAAATAAATCAGTAGCAAGTTTTTAATTTATATGAGTGGTGATTTTACAATGCTCTTGGTAATTTTCTGTTGATATTGATATCAACCCCCCCTTTTTTTTTTAATTTTCTGTGTGTGCATGCATGCTGTAGCCCAGTGGTTGGGGTGGTATGAGAGGGAGCTTGCTGGAGTTGGTTCTCTGTCCGTGGGAGCTCCGGATAGACCTCAAGTCACAAGGCTTGGCAGGAAGTGCCTTTAACCACTCTGCCATCTTGGCAGCCCAGTTTACTGCCACATGTGAAACTCTGTCTTAAATATTTTTTTGAAATTGTAATTTATATCTCTTGCATGGTTGTAACCCATTATTAGTACATGGTAACATCCTTAGATGGGAGGCAGTATCATCTTGAAATTTTTATCTCATGGCTTAGACTGGGATTGAAAATGTCACTTTGTGCAATTAGTTTCCATTTTGAATACATTTGAATATGTATACTAGGTGGTAAAATGAATATTTTGCTATAGTTTTAAGTCATCAGAAATCAGTTATAGCTGATTCCAAATTTCACTAAGATATACTATACCATAGGTCATGTAGTTGTTGGTGTCTAGTTCTCTGTGACAGTGAATTGGTACAAAAAGAAAAGCAAAACACAAGACCCAGGTTCCACTGGCTGCATAGGCATAGATTCTGTGAGTGTTCAACAGGAATAAAACAGTCTTTCTGTCTCAGAGCCTTTGTGAAAACAAATGAGTTTAGGGAAAGACCAGGAACACAGTCGCTTTCAGGTTTAGAGCACATGTCTAGAAACTGGTAGTGTATTTCACATTATCTGCCAATTGATTTGGCATCATTTTATTTTCCATGACAGTCATTATCAAGATTTACAGTGATACTCATGGTGGTTAATCTTTATTGTTAAGTTGACTGGAATTCAAATAACCTAGGAGACATACCTCCACAGTGTTTTTGTGTGTGATCCCAGACAAGCTTAACTGAGGAGAGAAGACTACTTAGGATTGCAGGCAGTGCCATCCAATGGAGTGGGGCCCCAGACTAAACAGTGAGCAGAGGGAGCACCAACAACTGTTTCTTGATTATTCCTGCAATGTGATCAACTGACCCCAGCTCTCGTTGCCATTCCTTCACCTTACCCCTTCTGGGGTTTTGTAGTGAGATATCCACCCTACCTGTACTTGTTGCACTGACCACACCCATTGGTTCATGGGGACAGGTGCAGGTGTGACCTGTAGGGTCTAGGTCTGGGGCCCCAGACCCCACCCAGCTCGCTCTCTTCCTGGTCAGAGACAGAGAGCATCCGTTGGCATCCTTGGAATGGGAACTTGTGGCCATCATCTGTTTCTGGTGTAAGTGATTTCTCCCCAAATAAACATCCATCAGCCAATATTGTGACCCAGAATCTTATTTCCCATGCATTAGGTTTTGTTTGTTTCTTTGTTTGGTTGGTTGGTTTTGGTTATTGAGACATAGCTGTCTCAATAACCCTAGCTGTCTTTGAATTCACCACATAAATCAGACTGGCCTCAAACTCAGGGACCCCCTGCCTCAGCCCCCAGAGTGATATTAAGAGTGTGTTACCACGACTGGCTTCCCTATCCATTCTTAACCCCAAATAACTCCATCTTCACTTGATTTGTTTCTGTTGGGTATTTCTCACAGCAACAAGAACAGTTAGTAATACAATCTTGAAGTCATTAGTGTTAATGATACCATTAGCGCTCATTACTGTGATGAGGTTGCAGGGACCCCACATACTGGGTAGAAAAGCTCATTAGAGATCAAAGTACAAGACTATCTGTCTCTTGCCTGGTGGGCAGAGAGAAGAACAAAGTGGTGGAGAAACAAGCAGATTTAATAATGGTCAGCAGGGCAAATCTTTAAATTGATCCAAACTGTTTGGATCAATTGGGAACTAGATGCCTTTGCCTGAAGTAAACTGACCTTTGGGGTGGATTAAGGAAGGTTCCTGGCAAACAGAAACCTGCTTTTGTGCCTCCTTACCCAGTAACAATCCTGTTTACCTGTCCTGCTTAGGACACATTGTCACCAGAACTGCCATTTTGGGGGTTCCCTTTGGGTCTAACACACATGAGCCTTTGTCTTAAGCATTTTGTGGAAATTGTAAATTATTTTCATTCTTACAGAAAGCAATGTGGATACAATTCTATTCAGGGCAAAGAAACTGAGGCCCACATCTTTTCTTTGACCCTACTCCAGGTAAGAGTCTGGAGTTTGGCCCTACTTTTCCATGGGTCTTATTGGGCCCATGGATATAAGACCCAATTCATAGCAACAAGGTTCTTAAAGCTCATTTCCCACTCCCTTTCTCTTCCCTCTCCTTGCCACTCTTTGCTGATACTTTGGCGGGTCTCATCCCGAGCTCTGCTCAATCCCAAAGAAAGCTCACCAAGGCTGAATCCTTAGAGCAGCCTGTTCAGTCAGTGGCCATTAAACTTCAGAGAGTGCTCATGGGATTGGGGGTGGTGGGCTAGTTTTAGTACAGCCATCTGAATTCTCAGTTTATCTGGAACGCTAAAGCTAGTTCAGTCACTATGGGGCAATGGGCACCTTGGGCTTTTCAGACATTGCTTATGAGAAATGTTCTGATGCCTTTATTTGGGACCTGCCTTAAGGACCTTAAAAGTTCTTGCCATAATTGCAACCCAGATCGTAACATCAAGAGACTTAGCCCCTTGAGTCCAGTGCCACTGCATAATGCAAAGATGAACAAATCAGGCCCATCTGTATAGATACTCTCTGTGGTGTCCTAGATACCAGCTACAAGGTAGTGAGATAGGGGCAGCCAGCATGAGCAGGGCAGCTATTTGGTCTAATGGGTCGGTTCAACAGGCACTGTTACCAAAGCATTAGGACGCCAAGAGACAGGCGAACAGCTCTCCCGGGAGCACGTGGTGGCTCTGAAAAGAGCCTTTGGTGGGACGGAACCGGGGCCGGGAGCTCAGGCCCGCTCCCCGCGGATGCGGCGGGCCAGCTGGATGTCCTTGGGCATGATGGTGACGCGCTTGGCGTGGATGGCGCACAGGTTGGTGTCCTCGAACAGACCCACCAGGTAGGCCTCGCTCGCCTCCTGCAGCGCCATGACGGCCGAGCTCTGGAAGCGCAGGTCGGTCTTGAAGTCCTGCGCGATCTCGCGCACCAGGCGCTGGAACGGCAGCTTGCGGATCAGCAGCTCGGTGGACTTCTGGTAGCGCCGGATCTCACGCAGCGCCACGGTGCCGGGCCGGTAGCGGTGCGGCTTCTTCACGCCGCCCGTGGCCGGCGCGCTCTTGCGGGCAGCCTTGGTGGCCAGCTGCTTGCGCGGGGCCTTGCCGCCGGTGGACTTGCGGGCGGTCTGCTTCGTGCGGGCCATGGCGAACTCTGAAGGCGAAGAGACCAGGAGCAACTGGGACCTGCCCTCACCCGGGCCGGCCCTTTTATAGGAGCAGTCTCTCCCCCAGGCGGGGCGGGGACAGCGACTTGAAAGTCCCGCGCTGCCCGGCCATTGGCCGTGGCGTCACCGGCCCCGGGCCCGCCCATTGGCTCGGACCCGACCCGCCCCCTCGCCCCGCCCGCCCGCCCGCCCCTTGCCCAGCCCCGCCGCTGGCTGGCTGGCTGGCTCGCCCAGGCGCTCCGCGGGCGGGGCCGTCTGTGGTAGCTACCGGTGGACGGCCGGTGCCAGCTCTGCCGGAAAGACGCGCGCGCAACCGCCGCACCGCCCGCCCGGCGTCCAAAGTCACAGAGCGGGACACGAACCTCCTCCTAGACTTTGCCGGAGGGGCGAGCGGCAGGGGCGGCCGGCTGTGACTTAATAAGAGGTCCGGCCTGGCTGGCTCCGACTGGACTCCTGGTCGAGTCCCGGTCTCGGGGGAAGTGGGGGCAGAGGCTTTCGGGGCGCTAGGTTGGGAGCTGGGGGGGCGCCTTACGAGCCCGACAAGCTGTGTGGGGTTCGTGTGTGTCGGGGAGACGACATATGGCGGGCGCAGAGTGCTCAGTACAACTGCTCCGAGACGCCAGACTCGGCGCAGGACACGGGGAGACAGACCCCACAGGATGCTTGGGAGCCCACGCGCAGCGGGAAGGGGATGGGGACTGGACGGAGAGCGAGTGGCGACGCCACACTCTACACCTTGGGACCCGGAAGCCACTAGGCCGACTACCGTGCCACAACCCTTTAATCTGAACCGGTGGGTGGCTCTGAAAAGAGCCTTTTGAGTTCGCGGGCGTCCTCCCGAGACGCGGGCCGCTGCGAGCAGCGACCTCACTTATTTGCCCTTCGCCTTGTGGTGGCTCTCGGTCTTCTTGGGCAGCAGCACGGCCTGGATGTTGGGCAGGACACCGCCCTGCGCGATGGTCACTTTGCCCAACAGCTTGTTGAGCTCCTCGTCGTTGCGGATGGCCAGCTGCAGGTGGCGCGGGATGATGCGCGTCTTCTTGTTGTCGCGGGCCGCGTTGCCCGCCAGCTCCAGGATCTCGGCCGTCAGGTACTCCAGCACGGCCGCCATGTACACCGGCGCGCCGGCGCCCACGCGCTCCGCGTAGTTGCCCTTGCGCAGCAGCCGGTGCACACGCCCCACCGGGAACTGCAGGCCGGCGCGCGACGACCGCGACTTGGCCTTGGCGCGGGCCTTGCCTCCTTGCTTACCGCGACCAGACATGACGAAAAATAAATGCAAAACACACACGCTCACAAACAGAAAACTGCGCGCCAGTGCCGCCGCCTCACCCTTTTATAGGCAGAGCTCCGATTGTCCGCCCGACGCTCTCATTGGCTCACACGCGGCCTCACACCCTGGCCAATAGGGGCGCGCGCACAGGATCCGCTCATTTACATAAGCCCGGCTCCCTCGCCTGACCGCCGCCGCGAACGCGCGAATCACGACGCGCGTGGCCAGAGCCCTCATTTGCGTGCGGCCCTTCTAAGGGCCGCATCCTCCTGGGCTGTGTCGCCCGCCCGCCCGCCCGTCCGCCTGCCTGCCTACCTACCGCACTGGGCCAGTTCCGCCGTCTCTGCTAACCTTCCCTCCTCTCCCCACCCCTCCCCTCCCCTCCCTTCCCTGGGTGCGTCCCGCCTCCGAGAGGCCCGGCGGTGAGCGCGAGCGCAGCCGCGGGGACAGGTGTGCCGGACGTGGGTGACTCGGACGTCTGGTCCTGGGCCCGGAGCTGCTGCTTTCAGGGCATCCTGGGTGAGGCGTCTCGGGGGAGCCAGGTGGCTCTGAGGCAGCTGACCAGGTCACCAAGTACCGCCCGCCATTTCAGCTCCGCGAAGGGTCTTTGCGGAAACACCCATCCTTAGGTATAATGCTGGTTCAACCGCAGATGAAGGCTGCTCGGTCTCTTCTTCCTTTTACCCGCGTCTCTGCCTTTGGTACTCTGGTGACATACAGTCCTAGGTCCCGAGAATGATCCTGATACAGTACAGCTGCGTGCATATTTTAGAGTGCGCCTGCTCTTCTAGTTGTCTTCAGAGTTCATTTTGTCAACCTGGTTCGCTTGAGCCGAGCAACTTTGGAATAACTAAGTCAACAAACCTATTTTCTAAGTATGATAAATAAATGTTGCTGCGTTCATGTTTACTTAGAAAAAGCCAACATTATTTAGTTAAGCTTCTACAAATCTTTGGACGCTCTTTCTCAAGCACAAGCTGATCTACGTAGAGACCTTCCATTGAGGAAGATGGAAACCTAATTTCTGATACCTAGGAATTAGCTGATGTCCTGTTTGTCTTCTACTTGAAACATTAAGGTCTACCGATTACATGCTTACTGTTTGACTGCTAGGAGCCTCACTTTCAAGGGTTACTTCCATGCAATGGCAAGAAAATGCTTGAAAGGAATTGAGAGTGCTTGAAAGAACACGTAGGGTTTGGTGGGTTTTGGCTGAATGTGTGCAAGAATCGAAGATGACACTGGGCTTTCGCAGATCATTTGCCCTATGGTTACTCAGAAGCTCCGTTTAGGAGCCTTCCACTGTGCCTGGGGCTAGATCACTCTTGAAGTGCCATCTCAGGGCTACCATAATTTTAGCACCATGTCAGCAGTACCTAGAGAAATGTCACAGCCAGCATGTTCTAGTCTGATTTGTGTTAATAAGCTTGTGGTTGCTGCTGCTGTGTCAGAGAGAACCACTAGTAGATTAGACATTAACTGGATCACAGTCCTAGTGACACAGGCAGAAATACTGGGCTAGAGTTGTGTTGTGGGGGTGGAATTGTAAGTCTTATGGAGAAACAGTCCAGAGTAAGCTCCCAGGTTTTTTGCTAGAACAACTGTCTGGGTAGATGGTGTTAGTAGGATGCAATACAGAGAAGCATGGTTGAGTTGAGAAGTTGAATGTCTAGCAAGAATTCTCATATTTGATAACTTGATATTCAAGTGGACATGTGAAGTTACATTTGAGAGATTGAGATAAACCCAGGGTTCAGCAAAGACCACACAACTCTGCATTGATGAGCTGACTGAACACGCTACAGCATGTCCAGGAAACAGAGCACCCCCATGCACACACACACACACACACACACACAGTCCTTAGGTTTGACCTAATTGGTTTAAAAATTGTCCCGGCCTCCTTCAGACATCTGCATCAATAGTACCATCTCACAATAGATCAAACATGGATGGCACAGCATAGAAAGTTATCTGGAGGAAAGCTTTTTAACATCAAGATGAAATTGTGAAGTCAAAAAAGCTACTAAGAGAGATGCCATAGTTTCTTTTTCTGTTGCTGTGATAAAATATTCTGAGGAATGAAACTTGAAAATTATTTGGCTCACAGCCCTTGGCAAGGAAGTGATTGCAGCAGGATCTTGAGAGAACTGGTCACATCACACCCACAGTGGAGCAGAGCGCAGTGGGTTAATGTATGCCAGTGCTCAGTTTCTTCTGTTTTGTGCAGTCAGGGGTCCCCTGCCTGCACAAATAGTGTTATCCACAGTAGGCAGGTATCACATCAATCATCAAAATCTAAATAACCGCCTGTGTGCATAGCTAGAGGCCCATCTTTCAGGTCATTCTAGATGTCATCTGGTTGACATTGAGAGGAACAGTTACTGGAAAACTGTTGTGACCCATCTTTGTGGGGCTTCAGTCAGATCCAGCCAACTTGTACCTGACTGGTACCAGAGCGGGGGAGTGTGGATTGAGAAAGGGCAGGTAAAGGAAAAGACAGACACAGAATAGAGGCAGGAGGGCAATCCAGTGAATACTGGATTCCCCAAGTTTATCCTTCCACATTCTTAAATACCCTGATCAAAAAGGGGGAAATGGCAATGGACTTCTTTATCAAGGTACAAGGAAGAAACAGACTTAAATTCTCCATTTAGTAACAACATCTTAGACTAAATCTCTCCTTATTTAGATAAGACATCCATGCCTAATACCAAACATCCTAAAGTAGCCATGTCTTAGACCTTTAGGTCTTACGTTTAAATTTGGAAGAGTAAGGATAGTTTTGAACTCTCTGACCTCAAATCAAGATGAGGGGAGCCATCTCCGTGAACCCCAACAAAGGACAAACTGAGATGATCCGAACTGAGCCTCTCAGAGTTCAGCTCACGTTGGGCCATATGTTAACTTTAAACTCCAATTAAGTCAGCTTGTCTGGTATATTCCTGCTTAGTTTGAACCTTGAAATGTGTCAAGAATGAGATTCCCTGGACTAAAAGAATGTGAATCCTTGTATTTATTGATTCATATAGTGTGTGTTTACCTTGTAGGTATGTGCATCATATGTATGCCTGGTGCCTTCAGGGAGTGACAGTTGCCAGCCACCACGTAGCACTGGCAACTGAATGAACCCAGGCCCTCTGCCAAGAGCAGCAAGTGCTGTTAACCCCATGAGCCATCTCTCCAGCCCTGAACTTTTGTATTGACTGGTGTTATACAAGTCAAATAGGTTGACAAGGAAAAATAGAGGCTTCCAAATACACATTTGGGCCCAAACTGCAAATGTTAAAAATCAGCAATTCATGATGGCCAAAATTAATATTACTACCATACAAAAGTTTGGAATTCTTTTATCTAAAATTTTATAAGTTTCAATAATTATATTAGAGATTTTGGCAGTTGCATTCTTGAGACTGCTGTAGTTAGGTACCACATTGTTCTCTCATAGTCATACAGCTAGAAGTCTGAAATGGAGGTGTGACAGGGCTGGAAGACTCTGTCACTGTCTTAGGATGCTTCCTTATCTCTCTGCACCTAGAAGCAGGAATGTTTTTGTTTGTGGTAGCATAACTCCAATCATCCCCAGCCTTCTCCCTAATTTTATGCAGGTATGTAATGTGCTTTGATCATATTCATCTGGCATTATTCCTTTTAACCCTTGTTTCTATTTTCTTGTGAAGCTATTAATTATACTGGATGTAATCCTTCTGTAATTAACTTGATTACATCTGCCCAAATGCTTTCA